TGATAATCTACCTTAACCAAAATCAAAGTAGACTATCACTCACCCACACCAGATGGAAAACTCTACAGACTGTCGGTTCACACCCCATCACAAGCCAGCAAAACACCCACGAAACAAAGAAAGGTCTGTCACAGCCAAAAATATATATATATGGGAAATAAGTATGTGACGACCACTTCTCACAATCACAATGAGACTCCTCATAGTCATATATATATATGTGTGATCGCAGACAGTCAAATCCAAAGTCCGAACCACATAACATACATGCAATCACATCAAAGAATCAACCAAAAGTTCACACATTACACGGAGTCAACTTCGACCAATCTCTATACTCATACCCCTCGCTTTAGCCATGCAGGCCCCAACCTTTGCCCAACCTTCCATAATTAAATACTTGGTACCTTTGTTAAATGGTCATTCAATAAAAGTCTGGGTGAAACCCTTAATAAAACAATAAAAAATCATTAGGGCTAAAGTCTTTTTAGGTTGAACATTTGAGGATGAATTGCAGTTGAGTCGTAGACTGACGAATCGGCAACCGACCGGTTATCTGTGATAACAGAAGATGATCCTTGTAGGATCAAGCTGAATCTAGCCCAAATTTTGAATCAAACATTCAAGAGGACCTGTAACACAAGACAAGTCAATCCCCACGCTAAAACTATAAACCCAAATCGAAAATAGACTTCATAATCACGATCTCATCAAAACTCATTCTACTTAACTAAGACAGAGTCTACCACTAAGTCAGTCCTTAAAGAAAAGGTAGAATTTTAACAGAATCTTCCCTATACAGAGTGGATTGCCAAAATTTTCACCTGTCAAAATATAATCCAACTCCTCTAAACTAAGAAAATTTTGGCAGCGCTTCCTGTAGGAAAAATGCTTTCTCATAATTTATAACAACTCCAATACGAAAAACAAAATCAAATTATAATCCTGAAAAATCAAATTTTGTTTAACTCCCTGAATTAGTAAAAATTTGGGCATCTCATTTAGAAAGGTAGACTTCTTAGATTTACACTAAATCAGATAGAAACTCAGAAGTTAGA